AAATATATATATATATATATATATATATATATATATATATATATATATGTTATTTTGCTGTTTAGATTAGAAGAGAAGTGGAAGGAGAAATGAAAGCAGTTTGAAGACCACAAAAGTGCTCCGCAAATACTGCCAAAGCCCTAGAGCATGGAAGTAGAATGAGGAATTTCTTCTTACGATTTGGCTAAGGTTCTAAGTTTCATCGTTGTTGAATTCTCCCATATTTGGGCCTAAATTCTCAGAATAGAACAGAATAGGATGTAAAGGCTGAGATCATCTGGTACAATTTATGCAAATCAAAAATCTTGCCTCTTGTCACTGAGCCGTGGCAAGAAACAAAACTGCTCCCCAAGCTCATCCAATCTGAGCCCCAACTGTGTGACGTCATCGCCCCGCCCCGCATCTCTAAGCCTCGGGGTGCACAGTCTTTAAACTGCGGTCCCAGCCTCAGTTCTAGCGGCGCCTGCGCACTGTGAAGCGGGGCGGGGCGAACGCGTGCGCGCAGCGTGAGGGCGGGGCTAGTGCGCACGCAGCTTCAGCCCCTTCCCCGCCCTTGCTGTTCCCGGTCTCTCCGTCAGCCTGCGGGTCCCGTCTGGCGGCTGCTTCCGGTAGGAGAGCAGCACCGGGCGAGCTGGTCTCGGGTCCTTGTTATGTCCTACGGTCCTTTAGACATGTACTGGAACCCGGGGCCTTCGGGGCCCCAGCTCCGGGACTTCGGCAGCATCATCCAGACGTGCAGCGGCAACATCCAGCGGATCAGCCAAGCCAGTGAGCCGGGGGACCGAGCTGGGGGGCGGGAGTGTCCCGGGCACAGGCCAGGGTGAGGCTGCCTGGACGCGGAGCCGGGCTGGGGCTGCAACCAAGGCCACACCTGAAGCTGTCTCCGGCTGTCCACTCTGGAGGCGGCGGGCTGCCATCCCCGCGGCTGTCAGGCCCGGGCTCCCCGAGGGTCCCAAACCCCAGCCGAAGCTCGAGTTTCTTCTCTGGAGTTTTGCCCTCACGATGTTGGGGCCAGAACAGCAGATCTGACAACCCCGGGGTGGGAGGGTGTGTGTGTCCCTCGGAGCAGTGAGTGCGTTGACTTGGCGCAGCGGTCAGTCGAGTTTTTCCTGACATCCGCCTTCTCCCCACCCACCTCGCCGTTCTCTGGCCAGTTTGATCGGGAGTTGTTTACTGATTTAGACTTTAGGCTTACATTCTGCTCAGCCACTGGCTCCTCGGAAATCAGCAACTTTCAATTAAGGGAAGTGGACAGTGCATGTGTTTGAGTGACTTAATACACAGTTCTTCCTGTAATGAATCCGGAAATCAAACACAATGACTGGTATTTGAAGGGTGGGATGACTTCTGACTTAATAAGGAGAATTCACCAAAAATATTTCAATTTATATTATATTGTCTTTTGTATATTTTTGGATTTCAGACAGATGAGATTTTTGTTTTCCTTCCCTATTTAGTTACTCTTGAACAAATCTGATAACACAGAGAAGCTCAGGAACTTTAGCCACAACCACACAGCAAGTCAGACATGGTAGAGTTGGTGGTGGAATTCAGAATGTCATTGTTTTAAAACTCTTTATCATTAAGGTGTGAGTGAGACTGCAGCTGAATGAATCAAATATAGGCTGTTTCTTGTGCTTGAAAATAATCTCAGAGCCTTATAAGCAGGAGGTCAGCAGCAAGTTTACTTGGAAAGAATGGTGGTCATCATCTTTGTTTATTATTGTGTTTTTGTGAGCTTGGCTGTACTCTAGTAAGCGGAGCTGGTTGGTCCTGAATTACAATTATGTTTTGTATTTTAAAAAATATGACTTTGCTTTTAATTTTAAGTGTATATTATAGAATTCGAGAGGTAGAAAGTTTCTAATGGGAAAGGATTGAGTCTGGGTGATTTGGAAGTGGAAGAAGTATGTGTCTGTTAAATCCAGAAGTAAAAAAAATAATAACATGACCATTGGGTAGAAAGTACTTTGTGTTCCAATTTCCTTTTGTGGAGGAGCTGTAATACAGGGTAGGTCAGAAAATTCTGGTTCAATGCTGAAATTTTCTTGTTGAAGCTAAATTGAATTTTAATGTCTACTTGTGAAATAGTCATTTAACATATATTTATCAGGCTATTTAGTAAGTATAGGAACTGGCATGGGTCTTTCAACAGGGAGCCTGTGGAATACATAAACAACCAAAATATAAAATTGAAAGGAATCAGTGCTATATAAGAGATATAAACAACATTATGCAGGTATTCCAGGGAGAAAGAGATCATTTTTAGTTGGGAAGGCATTATGACATTTGAGCTATGTCTGCAAAGAGGTTGGAAAGGATTTGGGCCTTTGAAGGTAAAGAGGAAAAGAACATTCCAGGAGGAAATAAAATGACCAGACATAGTAGTGGGAAGCATAGCGTGTATATAGAAAAGCAGAGTAATGTATTTTGGCTAGTGTGGTGGACTCCAGAAAGTAGTGGGGAAAAAGAGTTGGAAAGGTAAATTGGGGCTCAAACATGAAGGGCATTAAGTACTAAGTTAAGGGGCTTGGATTTAATTATTTAGGAAATTGTATATTTTATTGGAAGAGAGAGACTGAAATCAGAGACCATGAGGTAAGGACTGTGAAAAGGGAAAGGTTTCCTTGGTGATAGAACTGGTAAGATTTAGTTGTTGATTGGGCAATGGGCTAAAGGGGATTATTGGAGTCAACCATTAATATTTATAGCTAGCCAGGCATGGCGGCTCACACCTGTAATCCCAGCACTTTGGGAGGCAGAGGTGAGAGGATTGCCTGAGCCCGCGGGTTCAAGAACAGTCTGGGCAACATGGAGAGACCTCATCTCTACAATAAATCAAAAAAATTAGTTAGGTGTGGTAGCACAGGCCTGTGCTACTACTTGGAAGACTGAGATGGAATGATCGCCTGAGCCCAGTAGGTTGAGGCTGTGGTGGCTGCGAATGTGCCACTGCACTCTAGCCTGGGTGGCAGAGTGAGACTCCAACTCAAAAAAAAAAAAAAAAAATTAATAGCTAACATTTCAGTACATTCTGTATGGCAGGCTGTATGTAAAGTGCTTTACATGCATTATCTTACTTAATTTTATAATAACCCTGTGAAGTACCAATATTATTTCCATTTTCTGGGTTAGAAAGCAGACTGAGAAAAGATAAATAATTGCCCACTTAATAAATGACAATATCTGAATTTGAAATAAGGTCTGTTTCTTATGACCAGCAACTAGCCCTTTTGTAATATATATGTATATTTTTTGAGTTAGAGTCTCATCCTGTCTCCCAGGCTGGAGTGCAGTGGCATGCTCACGGCCACTGCAGCCTCCACCTGCTGGGCTCAGGTGATCCTTCTGCCTCAGTCTTCCGAGTAGCTGAAACCACAGGCATGTGCCATCATGCCCGGCTAATTTTTTGATTTATTGTAGAGATGAGGTCTTGCCACATTGCCCAGGCTGGTCTCAAACCCGTGGGCTCAGGCAGTCCTCTCACCTTGGCCTCCCAGAGTGCTGGGGTTATAGGTGTGAGCCACTGCACCCAGTGCAACAAATACTTTTTAAACACCTGCTGTTTGCTGGGGTAGAGCAATTAACAAGAGACAAAATTCCTGCTCTGATTGTGTCACACGCATATGTACACACAAACGCACACATATACATGCATATATACATAATATCAAGTAATAATAAATGCTGTGAGGAAAAATAAAGCAGGGTAAATGAATAGAGAGTGAGGGGAGAGGGCGAATGAACGCACTATTTTAGGTAAGTTGGTCAAGGAAAGCCTCTCTGAGGAGGTGACATTTGAGTGAGTAGACACTTGAATGAAGTGAGGGAGAGAGCTATGTAAGTAGCTGGGGAGGGTATTCTCGGCAGAGGGCAAGAACAAAGTTAGAAAAGGGGAGCAGAATAAGAGAAGAGGTCAAAGAGGTAGCCAGGGATCAGATCTTACAGGGTCTTGATGCATAATACATTGTAGTCAATTGATTTGAATGCATGAGGCTTTTCTGTCATTTTAGAACTCTCCCTGCCTCTTTCTCTTTGTGCTTTGTGGTTCGTACCATATTCTATGACCCTAGGCAGTGTGAGTTGAAATTCTTCCCTTTGAATTGTTTGGAGAGGAATTGGGATATGGCCAAGTATACCCTTGGAATGCTAGCTTGTAGACATAACCACATACCCATGCAGCCCTACAAGACCATGTATCCATTGAAAGTTTGGGAGAACAGGTATTCTTTCAGCCACAGATATGGCTTTGGAATTGCTGAGCTTAGCAGCCTAAAATATGGAAGCCCACTGCGTGGGTTCTTATAGGTACAGCTAAGGGTACAAATGATTGTTTTTAGTATGTGTAAGGCACAGACTCTGCTTATTGTAGAATGAAAGGTCTGTGCAAATATTGCTGGGGCACATATAGCTAGAAACCAAATAGCCTTAAAGTTAACTCTGAAGGGATTAAAAAGTATTTTTGTTATTTAAGTTACTTTCTTATTTGTTTATTTATTCATTCATTTGTTGATTTGGAGTCTCACTGTATTGCCCAGGCTGAAGTGCAGTGGCATGATCACAACTACCATAACCCTGACCTACTGCAGCGTTGACCGGCTGGGCTCAGGTGGTCCTTCCACCTCAACCTTCCAAGTAGCTGGGACTACAGGCATGTGCCACGACACCCGGCCAGTTTTTGATTCATTGGAGAGACCAGGGCTCCCTATGTTGCCCAGGCTGGTCTTGAACTCCTGGGCTCAGGCAATTCTCTTGCCTCGGCCTCCCATAGTGCTAGGATTACAGGTGTGAGCCACCATATTAAATTGCTAATTGCTGATATGATTTTGTTTACTAACAAAATAAGAAGAGTTGAAGTCTTACTCTGTCACCCAGGCTGGAGTGCAGTGGCGTGGTCATGGTTCACTGTGACCTCAAACTCCTAGGCTCAAGCAAACCTCCTGTCTCAGCCTCTCGAGTAGTTGAGACTACAGGCATGCGTCACTATGCCTGACTAATTTTTAAATTATTTTAGAGGCGAGATTTTGCTGTGTTACCCAGGCTGGTCTCAAACTCCTGGCCTCAAGCAATCCTCCTGCCTTGGCCTCCTAAAGCAAGAAGAGTTGAACTTTAACAATTGATTATCATGAAATCTTTTTTTTTTTTTGAGTTGGAGTCTCACTCTGTCGCCCAGACTGGAGTGCAGTGGCATGCTTCCGGCCACTGCAGCCTCAACCTACTGGGCTCCAGCAATCCTTCTGCCTCAGCCTTCCAAGTACCTGGAACTATAGGCATGCGCTACCACGCCCGGCTAATTTTTGATTTATTGTAGAGATGAAGTCTTGCCAAGTTGCCCGGGTGGGTCTCGAACCTGTGGGCTCAGGCAGTCCACTCACCTCAGCCTCCCAAAGTGCTGGGATTACAGGTTGAGCCACCAAGCCTGGCCTATCATGAAATCTTTGCGTTCTTCTTTCAAAATTATTGTTATATTTACTCCTTACATTTTATATTTCATTGCTATCCTTTTTTTTTTTTGAGTAGGAATCTCACTCTGTCGCTCAGGCTGGAGTACAGTGGCACGCTCACAGCCACTGTAACCTCAACCTGCTGAGCTCAGGCCATCCTTCTGCCTCAAGTAGCTGGAACTATAGGTACACGCCACCACACCCAGCTAATTTTTTTGATTTATTGTAGAGACGAGGTCTCGCCAAGTTGCTCAGACTGGTCTCGAACCCGTGGGCTCAGGCAATCCTCTTGCCTCTGCTTTCCAAAGTTCTGGAATTACAGGC